TCAATTTTAGAAGGTGCTTCTGAAATATTTAGAGGGCTCAAAAGAGCCTTATAGTTTCTAACTCGCATAGCAAACTTCCCCCTTTGTTCCCTGTTCCCTGACCTTCATCAACAGACTAACCTGAAAAGCATGAAAGAGTTATGGTTCTTAAGAAGAATTTTTCAAACAACGATTTGCTCTCAGAGAGAGAGAGAGAGAGAGAGAGAGAGAGAGAGAGAGAGAGAGAACCCTCACTATTTAGGTCTTTAGAAAGCCACCAACAGGCAAAGATGTATGCAGAGCTGAAGCGTTTTAGCAAAACCTGAAAAACACTTCACTCTGGTGGGAGCCATTTTAGGTCTAAGACAATGTACTGGCAAGATGAGATGAGACAGACCCTTCCACCATTTTGCCTTTACAAAAAATTCAGTGGCTATCTCAGTGTTTTGCCATGGGTTTAAATTCTGGAATTCTTATGAAAAACAGGGCAAGAGGCTTCCCAGAAATTTCTCTGCTCTGAGAGTTCTTTCTTCCGTGGATTTCTTGGGTTGACACTGAATCTGTGCCAGAATTTCATCACCACCTAGGACTGCAATGCACTTCTGAGGCAATTTCAGGGTCGTGACGGGTCAAAGGCAATGACCCCACTAGTACCAGACTCTGGAAGTTTGACTGGCTAAAACCAGTCACAGGGACCTGTGACTCTTACTGTGGGGTAAGCTTACCTAAGGAAGTCTCAGCCCTGGAAGCTGTCAGATCTGGCTCTGAAACAGCAACATTTACACAAAAAAGGAAAGTCTGAAGGCTGGGCATGAACACTCCTCTGTCTGGTGTCAGATCTTCACCTGACTAGACGTTCCCAGCACACAGATCTCCACTTAAATGTCACATCCTCAAAAAGTTCTGATCAACCGTTCTAAAGTGACTCTCTTCCCTGGAACCACATAACCCTTGCTTTTTATTTTTTTTTAATTTAAAAATGTTTTTTAGAGAAAGAATCTTGCTTTGTTGCCCAGGCTGGAGTGCAGTAGTGTGATTCTAGCTCACTGCAACCTAAAACTCCCGGATGCAAGTAATCTTTCTACCTCAGCCTCCCAAATAGCTAGGACTATGGGTACACATCAGCCAACATGTCCAGTTAATTTTTTAAATTTTTTTGTGGAGGCAGGGTCTTGCTATGTTGCCCAGGCTGGTCTCAAACTCCTGGCCTCAAGCAATCCTCCTGTTTTGGCCTCCCAAAGTGTTGGGCTTATACGCATGAGCCACTGTGGCTGGCCCACTTTCATTTTTAAATTTTTTAATTTCCTCTGTGCACTTGTCTTCTTTATTTATTTAGATCTATATTTTTGCTTATTCCATTCCCTGCCAGCTCCCTCCCAGCCTCTGGAATATGCCTGGAATATAATAGATGCTCAATAAATGTGTTGACTGTTTATTTACCAAGAGAGCTGTTAAGAACAGCATCTCCCCTGGAAAGGAGCTGTTAGGATGAACCACATGGTACCAGGAACTCAAAGACTTAGCATGACTTAGTACTAATGAAAAAGTGCTAGATCTCTTTCTAAGATTCCTCTCACATAACAGTGAAGAGGCTCTAAGTCATGGTCTGATTACCAGTCCATCTCCAGGGGATCCATGGAAATGGATGATGTAGATCAATATTACTCTAGTATTATAGCAAGAGATGCAATCTTGGTATTCCCACAGCATTAAAGTTTGGAAAAACATCTACTTTGCAAAGGAAAAAAAGGGTTGATTTATAGTATTTTATACTATAAATCATTCCAGCAGAAAACCACATATTTGCCCATTTTGTTTTGGTGAGAACAGAGCAATTGTTTGCACAGTTTTCCTGTCACACCTGCTCTGGCCTGCCCAGTATAAACACCATAGCCAAAAAGTGTAAATGGATTCAGGATAGCTTTTCAAACAATGAGATGGGCTAAGTGCCATCCTCTACAATCATCAAGAAGCATTTTCAGCTCATCTTGGAAATTCAGTAATAATTGTAACTGGGTAAGTTTAGAAAACCTTTGTGCCTTGTCAACATTGCTATGAAATATGAAGGTAAAGTATTAAGGTGAAACACAACAAAGTAATGTATAGTAATTATTCCTCTAGTCACTGGTCTATTTATTAGAAAGACGATGGTACAATACACTACCCAATAATCTTATTTGGCTTTCTAGCTCCTTGAATTGGGTCTTAAATTATTTTAGGCAAGACCAAGAGCAACATAAGTGAATAATGCCACAAAAAGCACCCCATTAAGTATGAAAATTTACAAGATGACGCAACCAAGCTTGAGTTACAAACAAAAGAATCGACATTCTATAAAGAAGAAATACACTGTTGAATCTATCAGGCATTCATTTTAATGGTAAAACAATTGCATTGCATCCATCTAATCTTGTAATTAAGATTCAAATAGGTGCAAAATGATTACTTTGTACTGGCCTATCAAAATAGAAGACATGTAGTTGTAATCTTTCTGAATAGCAGTAGTGTTTTAATTATAAATGCCTGGCTCATTATTTGCTCAAGAGCGAATGACAATTAGCTTGATCCTATTGCAACTGTTAAATGCTGTTGGTACTAAAAAAAATAGGCAATACTGAATCAGGTTTCTGATATTTCCCTTCAGTTGACAATCTTCTGATTGATATTATACTCAAAATATACTTAGTCATTTAAAGTCACAGGCAAGAAGGAAAATGGCTCCCAACAGTCAAAAAAAAAAAAAAAAAAAAGGTGTTGCAGGAAGGGTATTTCATGGCAAGCCTGGAGAACAAAATCAGTATGAGATGAGTCACATTCTAAAATAATTGAACCAGAGAAAGACTCCAAGCAAAATATTTTAGTTGGCCACAAAATAACACAACAACAACCACTACCAGCCTTCAGCCCATCAGAGGTTCAGTTCTACAACAGTGCTATGGAATAGAATATTAGATAAACTGCTGGAATAAAGCAGCCATTTACACAGATAGTTCTGAATCAGTGTTGTTCACAGCCAAGCAAACCTCTGGGAGGTTTCGGGGTTAGCACCATCTTCCTATCGCACCTAGAGATATTTCCACAAAGGTTCTGGGTGCACTTGTCATTGGAAGGGTAGGCTTGGGTTTGGGTCCTTTTCTACTGAGAGCTCTGAGGTTACCAACGGAGCAATCAGGGAAAGCAAGAGCACAAGCATTTTCTGATTCTCAGAATTTCTGAAATACCTTTTGTTTCAGTGGCGCTGGTGAACTTGTGATAATGAAACTACACCTCTGTACACAAACCTTGACCTGCATTCTGGAGCATATTGCAAAGAACACCTTAATTTCGAAAGTACTGAACACAAAGGAGGGGGGGAAAAGCTGTCACTGTGCAAGCTTTCTCTATCTGTTTAGAAACATGGCTTAATTTTTAAGGCTTGAAGACCGCATTTAAAAATATCTAAAAGCAATTCAGATTCTATATGAGAGGAAAAATAACTGTAAATTTTTAATTAAACATTTGTTTCCTTTTTAAAGACATTCTTTTGCATATCTGTTATTGCATGTTTAAATACGATTTGGTTACCAAGGAAACAGGTTCTGGCCCAGTGTTAAATTTGAAACTAAAATATATTTGAGAAGTTAAGCCCAAAGGAAAGAGCTCATGAAATTATTTTGAAAAGTGCCCGAACCACAGCTTATGGTCTGCAATGAACCATTCGAGGGGCTCGGTTTCATTTAGTGAAGCTCTATTTCTTTTAAGAGGGCCATCTATATTTAATCTTTTCCTCTTTAAAAACTGTAATTCCTCATCCCCCCAAATTATATACATAATATAGTATATCCTTGTATATTACCTAAAATTAATTTTGGGAGCATATCTTGTTTTTATTTTCATCTTCTCATATAACACGTTTAAAGACCGCTTCTTAAAATTTAAATATTTTAAATGTTTCTTATTAAGCTTGTTTACGCTCTTGGAAATCATCTCCAGAAACCCATTTATTTTTAGTTTCAAGCTAAAATGGAGCTGAATCATCACTCTTTTCAAAAAATTCTTTTGTTGTCTAATGGTAGCACACCTATCATATATATGATTTTTTAAAAAATCTCCCTTTTATGGCAGAATCATTTAATAAGTTCATAAAATCTATACATTTTTATACTATCTAAATATCAGAGGCTATCCAATTAAAAACCCTCTCCCAAAAGATTACAACTGTCTTATTTAATTTTTGTTTTTTTAAAAGTCACATTTCAATGCATCCAATGTTCTTGCTGCATGGCTCAAAAAAACCCCTATAAAAACATGCAAATTTCAACCTACCTGTATGTATCACTTAATGCAGTGCTAGCATGACAAGACACTCAGCCATTTTTATGTAAAGCGATGGAGACCAACTGATTTCTCTGTCTTCTTGCTCACAAGTTTTAGATGCAATTGTCACATACACACAAAAATCATACGCAGAACAGCTTGAATGAACTGTGATCACAGAACTGAATTTATCAACAGGAAAACAGGATTGAAAAAAGAAGTTTCTCATCCAAGGTTTCTCTGAGACTGCAACCAAGGAGGTGGTGTGTTGAATTTTTTTCCCCTTCCTCCTCTGAGAGTTCAAAGCTCGGAGCTGACCACTGCAAAGGCCACTGTCACATTTGCTGAAAATCAAACCACTGATACCAGCATTGAAAATACAAATTTGAGAACCCAAGTTGCTTGCAAACGATGGTGTGCATAAGAGTTAAAAATAGAATCCACCTTGCCTCCTACCTGCATAATAAACATGTAAGTTTCAAGTGTTTAATTTGATATTCACATTAATTAACAATACAACATACATTATTTAAAAGACAGAAAATGCATGAAGAAAGGAGAGACACCATCTGGTAGCAGAGTTTTGTTGTTGTTTTTTGTTTTTAGGGTTTTGTGGGGGGGTTGGTTTTGTTAAAAAAAAAAGGTAAAATCATATTTTAGATGTGATGAAAAGCAAACATCCAGAAGCAAATGAATCGGAAATGAAAGGTGATGTTGAAATATCTAAGGCTGTAATGAGGCAAAAACAAGTCTTCGCTACCAGATGATATGGCATACAGAGCATTTACATACTCACATCTGAAATACTAGGCAACGTGTAATGAATTCTAGACACAGCATGCATACACAGCACAAGCACGGCTAATCCTGCCTGCCATCTTAGGCTCGCAGAAGCAAGATACGCACTGCATGCAGCACACGAGCACTGGGGAAGGAGGAGGCAAGGGACAGCTCACCTTAAATGCAGTATCTGATTAATGTTGTAAGTGACATTGCATATCAGCCTCAGAGTCTTGGTTCAACTGGGTAGGAGGGAACAAAGAAAAATGTCATCAACTGGTGATGCAAGATGAGCCCAATCACTAAACACTGTTTAGCAAACTCCAAATTCTGCAACCAGACAGAAGGCATTTCATACACTTAAGCAGAGCTGCTCCACAATGAATGTGTCCTTCTGCTTCTGAGAATCAAACAGTCCTTTTGCTAAGGAAGAAAATAAGCTGGAAAGAACACTCTCATATTCTCTTCTTGAAGAAAGCTTTCAATACAGTATGTATCTGGTCTGGGATGCATTTTATAGATTGTTAATTTTATAGAATTGCTAAGAAAAAACCAAAACTGCTAAGCTCTTGCAAAGTAAAGAATAATGCTGATAAAGGGTATAGCATTTCTAGATTATTTTTCAAATTCCTAAATGGTGCCGGCAGGCTTGTAGGAGAATTGCATGATCAGCTGTCTGTATCTGTGCTATAACCTTTAACCACAAGCAGTGTAAATGTATCCTGCTAAATGTATCTGCAGTACAGAGCGGCAGATACCGCCTCAGAATTTTATTAAAATGTGAATGAATTTTTTTAAACTTGGAAGCAGAATAAAATCAGAACAGAAAAATACATTGATGCTGAGTTCCTATGGCTGTATACCCGACCATCATGAACGATAAAAGCTATCCTTAGGATACTGACCTAAATAATACTAAGACTTACAGCAGCATACTGTATGCGTTCAGAACACAGAAAAAGCACAATGATTTTTCTTCTCCCTCCCCCTCCAAAAGCTAAATTTTAAAGTAACGAGCCATTAATAAGAATACCAAAAGGCTATAGATAGTACATACTGTAAGAGAAGAAATCGTATTGTGCTGAGTTGCAATGTTTCTTTGTTTTACTTTGAGGCTTATTTTAGCTACGCTTGCATGATGACATTGACATCAGGAGGTCAGTGCTGACACTGGGTTGCTATCCGTTTTATGAGTGAAATGTTTTCCGAAAATTAAATCACATCTACTCAAACACCAAATTTCATGTCGTCTTCAATACCACCTCCCTACCCCCACTGCTCAAGATTGATGGGATCTAGTTTGGCCGTATGTAATAAATTGGAATCACCTTCTGCAGATACTCCAATACATAATGGTGATGAATTAATTTTTTAAATAAAAAACCTTCAAGAATTCTTATGCACCCCCTTTTATTCCTTCCTATCAACACACACACACACACACACACACACACACACACACACACACTCGAAGCTCAAATTGCAATGAAATGTTTAACATGTAGAACAAAACTGTTGAAAGAGCTGCTTATTCAGGATTTTTAAGAAATGCCTAATAAGCAAATACGGTTTTCCTACAAAACCAGTGTCACCATGTCCCCAAAGAGGAAAACAGCATAGCTTGCTAGCAAAATTTCCTCCAGATCCTGCCGGCAGGTAAAAAAATAAAAAAGCATTTTATTTGCCATGCTGTATAAAAACAAGAAGTCTTTTATTTTTAAGGAATAGAACAGATTCTTTTCCACTCTATTTCTTTAGCTACAAAGAAACCATTCCCACCCCCACCCTTAGATCCTGGACATAAGCCAACATTTTTATAAAATGCTGAGACTGATTTTGAATATATAATATTTATAGTGTTCTTCTTGTCTCTCCAAAAGTCTTTAATTGCCTATTGCATCACTGAATATGCTATTGTTAATTTTAACACGTGCAAAAATGAATTAATATTTTCTGAGGTTGCTAGTTTTCCAGCGCCTCAATTTTCTGTAAGGACTGGCTGAAAACAATCAGGTTAGCAACACATTGAAGTTCCCCAGAATTTTTTTAAAAGAGAAAATATGTTCAAATACCTTAGCTGAGGTACTAGGTTTCACAACTGGATCTTTTGTTTCTAGCTCTCATTTTATCACCTGCCCCAGAGCACAAGTGATTTTTAGCTTAATGTGTGGAATGTATCCTGCCCTCCTATAACCCATACACTTTAAAGTCTCTGAGTTGAGTTGTCCAGATGGTGGGTCATACCTGAACCATAGCGAGAGTCCTCTTCTCTTTGGAGCACATCTCTCTCCCACAACTACTCCAGAAATAAATGTGGCTCTAACGAAAACAGTAGCTCCTGGTCTCACACCAATGGTGGAACCATCTTCCCCACCCCCACATCATTGCTCTATGAGCTCTGGTTAGCATTGACAGCGTCAGAAAATTAGAATGGAGTGTCCTTAGGCCAATTCCTCCTTTACCATGGGGGCTGAGAATTAGAGAGATGATCACGCTGAGTTATAAGGCACCAATTTAATCTATGGTCATCTATAAAGCAGTCATTAGAGTGGGGTGAGAGGAGGTTGATGTGAACACCTAGGTATAGAATATCTCTGCTGAGATATTCTCCATTAATGACATTTGAAAGCTAGACATTCATTTAAAAGTACTTGCAAATTATTACCATGTAGGCTAAATATACACGTTATGGAATCAACTCCGACCACATAGAACGAAGTCATCTGCCTCCTCTGTCGGGAATAATAAATGACAGTGACAACGACAGTAATCCACATTAGGCTCTCAGGAGATGAGTAAATAGCGTTATATTCCCTTTACAGAAAGAGTGGTGAGTGTGGTCAGGTCCCCTACTGGTACTTGTGAGCCAGATGCCAGGGCAAACAGTTTCCAACCCCCCTGTAGGGTTCTCTGTCCACTCTCTGTCAAAACGAGCCTAAAAGCCACGTATTGGTTTATTTTGTGATGTTCCAAGACACTCAATCAGTAAACGTGGTACGTTTACCAGACCTGCTTGGGTTAAGCAAATGTGAACTATAGTTAAAATATTCAGAGCAACGAGCTTGTTTAGGCAGACATTCTCAACTAGCAAATCCTGTTTTATACTTTCAGAAAACCATACTCATGCCTGAATTACTTCAGCTTTGTCAGGATTACTAGTGGCGAGGGTATGCATTCACTTACGATTTTTAAAAATTGTGTGCTTCTCCTCAGTCTCCTCGGGGCATGTGCACAAACATTAATTTAAAAGGCAAATCCCTTTTCCACAGTGAACATTTTAGCCTGTTTCTGCCACTTTGACGAGTCAAACACGAGGAACCCAAAATAATCTGGCAGGCACAGGCTGCAGAAGGACAGAGCTAGAAGTGAGGGGTGAGCCTTTCACTTTGATTAACGTGCTTACTTGCTCACGGCCTCGTTGTTCTGCAGGCTGAGCTAATTTTCTTTGCAGTCCTGTGGGTTAAAGTTAAATTGCATGGCTAATGCAATGTACATAATTCAAGTATGAACAACACTTGACTCTCTCTGTTTTAAAAAAACATAAAGTCAGGGCACCGAGTCCCAGAAGAATACTTGGTTTATAAACATTTGGATCCGTTTGCATGTTCCTTTATGCCATTCACCACATCAAACATTACAGCTGGGTTTTTTTACACCTAATAGAGACAGTCAACATTTGTGGGTACATTGTTATCAGGTTAGGCTATTCTAATTACCAATGTACCCACAAATGTTGGGTACACAAATGTTGTGGGTACCACAAATGTTTGGAAAAAAAAAAAACAAAAGTGTTTATTTACCAAATACACTTTTGTTTAAATTCTTAGTATTTAAAAGTTTAAGGTTTTTTTATGAGGTTGGTTATTACATCTGTCTATAGCATATTTAGTCCTGGAAACAACATGGTGGCTTAATTTACCAATGACCAAAAATGCCTTTGGATTTTTGAGAAAGTTCAATGCTACTTTGAACATCTATATCTTGCCTAGAGACCTGGGCAGGAACTTCTGCCTTCCACATTGATCAGAGCTAAAAGGTCTATACTAGCTACCCTTATGGAGAACCTACTATATATTCAATATTTTAGCTACGTGTCCAATGTTTATTTCATTCTAACCCAATAATCCTGCAAACTGAGTATCATCGATTTTAGGTGAGGAACTAATAAAGATTACACACAGAAAATAGCAGACTTAGGATTCAAACCTAAGTTTGATTGATTGCAAAATCTACGTCTTTCCACCAATCCTAAGAGGATAAAACTTCCTCCTATGGCCACACTCCATCCCTGATGTCAGTAATCTTCTTAATATGCAGACACCTGGTAGAGAAGACTTTGTTTCCCTGGAGTCCTGACTACCTCTGTTTCTATGAACCAACCTCTATCCTCCAGGCCCTGGGAATTGTGGGAACCTAGTGTAGGAAGCAGAGTAAATATTTTAGTGGGAAATTTGTGATAATTCAAAAAATATTTTATGAGGCAAAATAGATGTCATAAATAGATTTCAGATGGAATGTATTTATTAAAAACCTAGTAAAGTCTAGTTTTTTCCCTCTCACAGGTGACCAAACCGGCTGAGAGAGATCCAGTAATTTACCCAAGATCACACACTTCATAAGTGAGTTTATTATTAATGCAGCCTTTCACTATATTAAAAATTATAGTCAGTTTCCTTTTATACCCAATATATTCAGCATTTGTGAATAAATTTGTTATCAGGTTGTTAGACTGTTCTACTCCAAATGATCAATTAAAGAAAAATCAGTGTAACAATCAGACTAGCCTGTTCTCTTCTGTTTGTTTGGTTTTGGGTTTTTTTTTGAGACGGAGTCTCGCTATGTTGCCCAGGTGGGACTTGAACTCTCAGGGGATCCTCCTGCCTCAGCCTCCTCAGTAGCTAGGATTATAGACGCATAATACTGTGCCCCGCTGAAACCGATGTGCTTTCAACTCACAAACAGTATTCTTCTCCTGAACAGATAAGCTAAGAAGCTGTTATGATATTTTTCCAAAGTATTTTTTAAATGAACTTTTAAAAAGCCTAATTTTAAAGCAAGAAATTTTGCTCAACTAAATTTACTGTTTTATTTTATCATTAAAATGATTTAAACACTAAAGTCATTTTAATGACTCTGTTAACATCTGTTCATTTTGCCTCTGTCTCAGGTCCCTTCCAGTTCTGAAAGTTTGTGATTCTAAAAAATCTAGCCCAGCTTGTTTTCTAGGTCATGAAGACCAACAGCTGGACTCTAAGACTCCTGCCTTCTGATGTATGTGGCCAGCTGACTATACTGCTTCATTGGCAGTAACTGTATATGTCAACGAGATGCCTCTCAAAGGGGGCTTTCTAATCCACCAGTTCCACCCCACCTGGGAATAGGAGAGGAAGACTATCTTTTGCTCAGTGCTCATGGGCAGTAGAATGAAGAGTTGGGTGAATGACATGCTTGAGGAGTCTGAACTCCAAGAAACCTTCTCCAGTTCTTAGAGACGAGCTTCCTCACGTCCAGCCATTAGCATCTGTGTAGGATGTGAGAAACAAGTACACACTGTTGGCAAGCACTGGACAGCAAGCCTTGTGGACCAAACTGGGGTTACCTTCCAGGAAAGAGCTGGAAGGAAAAGGGAACTGTAAGCCATGTTTTTTTTTTTTTTTTTTTAACAAAGGAAAAGTGGCAAATTACATAGGCTGCAAGGGAGACTGTGGTGGACAATATCTCAACCCATCTTAACCCAACTCAGATCCTCCTGTGGGAGCATCCTCAACTGGTGTCACCATTATGGAAATCACTAACTCAGCTTTAGCAACAGAATAGTTGCTACTTTCATTTCTCGGTGCATTTGAAACATGGCACAAATAATGACCTTAAGTGCCTATGGAGAGCAAGAGCATTCCTACACCCCAATCACATGTTCATTTTCTGCCATGACTGCTTGTCATGCATGCACTGATGGAGAGTAAGTAAAACAACAGGGCCTTGTAGCTTCTGAATCGGCAAAACACATTCAGCAGGGAAGTAGAGTTTCATCTTTTTTGGAGAGACTGGCAACTAGGCTGAAAAGAGAAGGTGGGGATAGAAATGAAGGTAGAAAAGTATGAATTCTTATAGAACCATAAAAATCCACCTCATGTGAGAACATAATCTTCTCTTTGTATCTTTCTTCACCCTGGGAAATAGTTCAAGACTTAAACCTGGGAATAAACTTACTTGCTTTCTCTTCTCTCAGATACGTGACTTTGCAGCTCAGAAAGGGCCACAACAATACACTGTTTCTCAGTCAGAGCAGTTTAACAAGCATCAGTGAGTCTTTAACTCCTTTGGCCTAAAGATAAAAGCACAGTACATTTTTGTTGTATTGAATTATCTACCTAGGCCCATGCCTCTGGCGTGATTCCTGGAAGCTCTTTGTATCTTCCAGGGTGCCTAGAGCATTGCCTAATACAATGGAGGGGCTTGCTGAGGATGTTTTGGACTCACCAGCACCAATCTCCGGAGTCCTTTCTCTACCACTACCAGTGGGATCTTCAGCTTTGTATCATGAAGCCCCTTCCTAAAGTTAAAGTACTTGCTTCGGTAGTTAAGCAATGGGTTGGGGGGCGGGGGCTGAAAATCCCTATGAAAATCTTTCAAGACCTTAATCACTTGTTTATCAAGGGGAGCTACAAGTTGTCTGGCAAGCAGACCACAGTGCTTTGTGTAAACCTGTTCCTCCTAGAACAGGGAAAGAGGAGACAGAAATAAGAGTGGCTGGACAACCCTGCCACAGCCTCCAAAGAATACCTCAACATTTCCTCAGGTCCACAGTGGCAGAGTGTGTTTCACAGAATTGAAGGAGAAGGAAGATGCTTTAGAAAATGCCATCTAAACCATTTCTTTGAGGGAGAAGAAAATTAGGTTCAAATGAGTAAAGCATCCGGTTTAAATAAAGGACTCAGCAGTGAGCACGGAAGCCGTGTTCCTTAGATCTAGCATTCTGCTCTTTGTAGTTCAACACACTGTCTCAATTAAAAAAAAAATTCTAAGCTGTCAAACAGATACTTAAAAATAGTTATGGATTAATTGAATTGATGACTACATGGCAGTATGGAGGGTTTATAACATGTTTTCCAATTCCTCTCAGATGAAAATATTACACTACACTTGTTTAACTGAAAACAAAACTCAACTAAATATAATTTTAAGCAAAATAGCAAATGTTGGCCAAAATATCACCTGGAACTTCTCAAGTGTCACTTGAGACTTGTCATAGAACCAGACTTGATTGCTATATTAAGTCAATTGACTAAGTTTAGCCTGCTGAAGTAGCCTTTATCCTCTTTGGTTTGCAAACCAAAATCTCATGATTTAGTATGAACAACTAAAAATAAGTTGCAGGTTTCATTTTCCGTTGTTCAGTACGGTTTTGAAACTAAAAGGTGCAAAACTACGAGATTCACCAACGACTACGGAAAGTCAACGATTAAAATTGTCCCCTTTCTAGCACATGATCCTGCTTGCCTATTCACAGCCAGGCCCGAGAAATGTGCGTTGCTGTCCCTCTCATCATGGTCTCTTGAGATGAGTCCTTCTAATAACTAAGGCACTGGGGGCTGAGGCCAGTCCTGGGGTAGCAGTGGCTTGTGAGCGTATTGTCACATCCGGACAGGATGCAGCATAGGCTTCAGCAGCATAGGCTTCAGCCCATATGCTCAGCCTCGATCTTAGGTAATGCTGGGGACTCCTCTGCAGAATCTGGGGATAAATACAGCTCGAATTTCATTAAGATAGGGCCCCGAAGTTGATGAGTGCAACGAGTCCCCCTGGACCTAAATGTCCATGGCCTTGTGCAATTCCATAGCGCTAACCTAGGCGGCTCACAATAAATTTAATTTCAAAATTGTCTTTCCAGGGCCAAGTCTGGCAAAAAGGTGTTTGACAGAAGCATAAATGCTTCAAAGAGAAGGCAGCCATCTCACTCTGTAGCATTCAGCCGTGGCACAAGGCCCAGAGACAGCAGCGCTGTTAAATGAAAGCCCTCGGCTGAATGAGATTGAAAGGGGGCAAAGACGGGTTAATCTCCTTCCATTAAAGGAGGGGCCATTTGGCGAAGGTGAAGAGTATAATCTGTATGAAGAGCAGAGCAGACATTCCAGAAAAGAAATTACTGCGCAGGGGTGAGGATGATTTGTCCTCGATTTTCACTGTGAGACCATTTCTTAGATCTGAATCTATCTAGCTTTGAAGTTATGGTCTCAGGAAGGGGCAAATGGGCCACATTCACATTCAGTGCTGGCATACTGGAGCTCTGATTCCACCCGAGATGGGCTGCCTGTCTCTGAGAAGCAGAGGGTGTGGCCAAAGCCAGCAGGACATTGTAGACTCCAAACTGCAAGTCAGAAGGCGGCAAAATAAACAGTAGGAGTTGCTCATAAAGGAGAAGCCAGGGGATAAATCCCCTTCCTTGGGGTGGGAAAAATCCCTGTTTTAAACATAGTTTTAAAAACTTTTTAAAAGTTTTAATACCTTTTTTTGTGTGTGAACGATCACAAGATGTGCAAGAAGTTACAGTGTCTCCTTTCTCTACCTTCTCCCAGTGATGGCTTAACATAGTTGCAGTACTTGATCTAAACCAAGAAACAGACGCTGGTATAGTTCAAATAAACGCTGATACACTCTTATGTGATTTTGCCATAAGAGTTTTCACATGCACTCTGTGTGTGTGTGTGCCTGTATGCCTGCAGTTCTATGCAATGTTGTCACAAGTACAGGCTGGAGTAATGACTATCACCATCAGGATAGAGAACAGTCACTCCCACAGTTTTCTGTGCTCCTCCTCTAATAATCATGCCTGTCCTCCAACCCTAACTCCTGGAAACCACTGATCTGTTCTCTATCACTGTCATTTTTTTTTTCTTTTTGAGATAGGGTCTCACTGTCACCCAGGCTGGAGTGCAATGGCACAGTCATGATTCACAGCAGCCTCAAACTCCTGGGCTCAAGTGATCCTCTCATCTCGGCCTCTCAAGTAGCTGAGACCACAGGTGTGCACCGCCATGCCCAGCTAATTTTTTAAATATTTGTAGAGATGGGGTCTCCTTGTGTTGCCCTGGCTAGTCTTGAACTCTTGGGCACTCCTGCCTCGGCCTCCCAAAGTGCTGGGATTACAAGCGTGAGCCACTGTGCCTGGCCTACCACTGTAATTTTGTCGGTCCGAGAATATTCACTAAGTGGAATCATGTAGCATATAACTCTTTGAGAATGGCTTTCGGCATAACACCCTTATGATCCAGTTGAATTGAATGTAAAGGGCAAATGCGTTTTTATTGCTGAATAGTATTTCAAGGTGTGGATGTACCAGTGTGTTACCCACTGACTTGCTAAAAAATTTGGCTATTTTCCAGTTTTTACATATTACAAATAAAGCTGCTACAAATGTTCATGTAAAGTTTATTGGGTGAACATAAGTTTTCATTTCTCTTGTGTAAATACCCAGGATCACATGGTAAGCTTATGCTGGATCATGTGGTAAGCGTATGTTTAACTTTTATAAGAAACTGCCAAACTGTTTCCTAGAGTGTACCATTTTACATTCCCACAGGAAATGTGGGAGAGACCCAGTGTTCCCATATCTTTGCCAGCATTTGGTAACCTCAGTATTTTTAACTTTAGCCACCTACTAGATGCGTAGGGGCTCCTTTTGATGGGCCACAGTCAAGAAGGCAGTCAAGTTTCATGGCCTTCAGAGCTTAGCTGGGGTGACCTCAGATGTCTCTCACTGCTCCAGTTTTCCTAGTAGCTGTCTACACAGCAGTTTGGGTTGTGTTTCATTTAGATGATGGAAAATGGGGTGGTCTCTCCAGATGTCAGGTGAGTCTTCAGGTTTGCCCAGTTGCTCCCAACTGCAGTGGTGGGACATTGCTATCTGGGGACACTGAGCCTCTTTGAGGCAGTGGCTCTTGGCCCAGCAGACAGACTTGATACCATGGCACATGTTCCCATGGGGCAGGTGAAATGACAGCTGTGGGGCAGGGACGTAGTTTGCCTGGGCCAGGGTCTTCCTGCAGCTTTGGCCAGAGACTGTGTGAATACTTTTAATTTCTCAGTTTAGATCGTTGTTAGCATAGTGTGAGAGGAAGTGGTGGGACATGGAGTCAACATAGACAGGCAAGGGTGGGACCACCAGTGGCATTTGTCGAATCTTGGGACTGGCTGAACATTCTCTGCCCTTGAACTTTGTCCTCTGTGACCACCCAGGACTCTCCAGCAGCATGTGGACACCTTGTCTGGATGCGATGGAGCCTCCCATTTTTGTCTCCTGTGGGTGAGATTTGGAGGAACTGCTGTCACCACCACATTGGCTTTCCTGGTCCAGGGGTCCAGGTCTCCTGAGGAATTAGAATGTCATCTGAGTATCAGAAGGTGCCTCACTCAAGAAGTGGTGTAGGACAAGGCAATGGGTCTTACATAGGGCCAACATTATAGTGAGGACTTGCACTGGCCCAGCCATTCTTGGAAAGTCACCCTCCATCTGTGGTATCTCTGATTCAAGGGAGGTTGCAAACTTAGCCAGCACTCTTATTCATCGTGACCCTGGAGCCATGAGTTTGGGCCAGGAGGCCAAGAATCAGTAGAGAAGCCATCCTGAACAGGGGCACCCATGAGATAATGTAGACAAGCATGGGGCAGTAAAGCTTGGGGATCATCAGCAAAATTCCCCGGTGGCTAAGCCCTGGGAGAGTCCTGGAAAGGAGCTCCTTTGGGTTCTCGCTCTTGTGTGTCACCAGGTGCCATTGCAGGAGCTCAACACAGATGTAGGCATGGAAGAATTCAAAGTTGATTTCTAGAACCTGAACATGAACTGGGGTTGGTAGGAAGCTGAGCAGTCTGTCCAGGCAGAAATTGAAAGTCAAGTGATGCCATGGCGGGCTCTGGAAGTTGAGGTGGTAGAATGAGAGGAAGCTGGGCAGTCAGATACCATCAAGTGATCAGCAGGTGTGGTGTGATGGGTTTCAGCAGAGTTATGCAAGCAGGATGAATAGTCACACTTCCTCTTAGAAGGTGGTGAGAGTTTAAAGAAATTGGTTTTTTTTGTTCACTATGGTTTCTGCTATGATTGTTTTTTTTTCCACTGTTTCCTAAATTTCCATTTTCAGGTTCCTCCTGCTCTGGCCTGTCTCCTCTCAGGCCACACTCCTACTCACCTGCTGTCAGAAGGCAGCCCAGCACACAGCACCTTTCAGATTTAAAAAGGCAGGCACGGCTTGGGGAAGGTACTTCCCCTGATTGTGACGTCACACAGTGGGACTCCATCCTTGAGGCCAAATCCTCTGCAGCTCCCTCTACCTCTTGCTTTGTCTTCCTTTCAACTCATTCCTGCCTTGACCTCAAATTTGCCCACACATTTTAGTCTGGCATTTGCCCTGACCCTCTCCACTGTCTTGATTTCTGACCCCAGAACCCACCTCCTACTCTGCTTTTATGGCACTGATCACATAGATGCTGTCTGCACAGATGCCCTCTGCCCTCCTGGGTACAGCTTCTTCAGTACTACCACCTCAGGGATCAGGGCACACCATGGTCTGGCTCCATTGGGTGACCAGGGTGGGCACTTGGACCCCTCGCTAGGTCTAGGTTGCCCATGAGTATCTTGAAGTATGGGCGTGAGGGCAGGTAGAAGCTCCTTGGCTGAGGCAGGGGGTTGCTTCAGGAGTCAATCTTCTCATTGGTGCCTTTTGCCTCTTCCCCAAAGGTTGGATGACTCTGGGCCCTTTGTCTAGTTCAACCTTTGCCACTAAATCTCTAAGTGACCACCAGGAAGCAAACGTACCATTATGAGCCTCAGTAATTTCATGTGTATAATCTGGTTTCTTGATTACCTAACTAACAAATACTTTTACTACACTATATCACAGTTAAAGGAAAATCTAAAAGTCAGAAGCCAAGAAGAGACTTTTAAGTTAAATTCTGGTATAGATACACTAGCTCAAAGGTCCCTATTTTTTTTTTGTTTTTGTCTAATAAATGTTTGCCAACTGAATATTTATTGAACTGAATGCAGCAAGTCAGTAGTTCTCAGGCATTAATGCTGAAGAATTAGGAGGGCAGATTAAAATACATATTCCCGGGCCTATCCTCAGAGCTTTTAATACCACTGGGGCCTACGAGCATGCATTTTAATATGAGAAACTAAGAAGGACCAAGGTTTTGAAATAGACACTGGTACCTTTCTAGAGGCCAATTCACCGATATGCATTAGAAACTTTAAAAATTGTAGAACACTAAAGTCAATCAAAATGTCCAACAACAACAAAAAATGGATACATTAAAATGTATCAGTGCAATGGAAACATAGCCATTAAAAATAATGTTTTCAAAGGCCATTTAGTGATTTGGTAAAATATTTATAACATAACTAAGTGGCCTCTGAAAACATGATTTTTAAGAGGTGGGCAGATCACAAGGTCAGGAGATCGAGACCATCCTGACTACCACGGTGAAAACCCATCTCTACTAAAAATAAAAAAAATTAACTGGGTGTGATGGCATGAGCCTATAGTCTCAACTACTCGGGAGGCTGAGGCAGGAGAATTGCTTGAACCCAGGGGGCGGAGGTTGAAGTGAGCTGAGATTGCATGACTGCACTCCAGCCTGGGCGACAGAGCGAGACTCTGTCTCAAAAAAAAAAAAAAATGTTTACAACATAATGTTAAACGGGGACAAAAAAACACATAAAATACCATCTCAATAAGTTTTAAAAGGAAAGAAGAATATATACAAGAAAAATTGGGAAAAATACATGAAACTGTTAATATTGAATTGTGACTTGGTTGTTGGCTTACTGGGCAATTTTAATTTTTTTACTTGATATTTTTCTGCATTTTCCAGATTTGGTACAATTGACTAGTTATGGCTCTCTTTATATGAAGAAAAAAAACACAATAATTTTTTTTTAAAGAAAAGGAATTTGCCTTATGTCAAGAGAAATAAAGAAAGAGAAGTCTCTTAGAAATCCAGCCAGCCACAGCCTGACTGCTGCCAGAGCTCCGACAACAGGGAGACAGTCTTGCACCTGAGGTCAATTTTAAGCTATTCCTTTTGTGAGGTACCTTGGAATAGTCAAAACCTAGGTAACTGGGTCAATGAGAAAGTCCTTTTCATCACATACTGTTTTCCTGCTGCATTTGAAGATAACAGCCTGTAGGATCTGGGAAATGGAGAGGAGTTTTCAGTTAGTTTAGATGACCTTTATTCTTGGGACGAGCTCATGTTTGTTGCCTCAGTATAACGCTTCACCCCCATCCCACCCCATAGCACTAAGTATGGTCTTGCCCCATAGCACATTAGTATGGTCTCATACTTAGTGCTAATGGGGTAGGTTTGGGGTGAGGGGTTATACTAATGCTCTTTTGGACAAAGATGAGGGCTCCACTCTTGCCTGGGAGGCACTTCTCAAGGTTAATGCCTCCATGGAGTAGGGTCCAAGCCTCCTTGTCCCAATGCAGTGGGAACCCCATCGAATGCCAGGAATCATCTTCTTTTGGCAGAGAGATGACTCATCCATCCTTCCTCAAAGATTTCAGTGAACTGCAGGTTAAATGTCCCTCTGAATAAGATCAGAAGCCTCTCAATAAGAAGTCCGGCCTAGAATCAAACCTGCTTTGGCTACTTAGAAGTGGTGCTAAAACTCCCAGATGAAAGTTAATTTATAAAGACAAAAAGTCTTTAAAATAATGATAATAAACAATATCAAAAGTCAAAATACCAATACTGACCATAATTATGATGATTATTTTTTATCAACTTTTCTTTTTTTTTTTCTCTCTGTTGCCTGGGCTGGAGTACAGTGGCCTAGTTTCGGCTCACTGCAACCTCTGCCTCCTGAGTTCAACCAATTCTCATGCCTCAGCCTCCCAAGAAACTGGGATTACAGGCATGCACCAACAAGCTTGGCTAATTTTTGTACTTTTAGTAGAGACAGGGCTTCATGATGTTGGCTGGGCTGGTCCTGAACTCCTGGCCTCAAGCAATCTGCCCACCTTGGCCTCCCAAAGTGCTGGGTTTGCAGGCATGAGCCACCAGGCCTGGCCTTTATCAACACTTTCGACATGCACTTTTCAAAGTTGCCCAAATCATTTTGCATAGATCACCTACTTATTCTGACAGAGTCCCAGCATTACATTTTCTAACAATACTATTTTGGAGGTAGGAGGAAGCTTTAAAGTTCTGATGAAAACCAGAAGCTTCTTGAGTTAAAAACAAAACCCTGAAGTCTTCAGTGTGATATTTTCCAATTTGGTTCTTGACAAGAAATTAGGTGATTTCAGTGTGAGAAATTATAAAGCCCTATTGCTATGAATTCTTAGGTTTGGTGAATATGATGTGGTATTCTGCAAAACTCTCTAAGGGGAGTGACAGAACATCATGATGCTGACCGAAGGGAGCTTGCACAT